GTCTCCCCCGGGTCAATCTGTGTCTCCCTCTGTCTCTCTAATTGTCTCCCTGTGTCTCCCTCTGTCTCTCTGTGTGTCTCCTTCTGTCTCCCCCAGGTCAATCTGTATCTCTCTATGCCTCCCTTTTATTTCCATATTTGCAGCTATAGCTGGGATGTTTCTTGTATCCTCTCCAGTGAAGCCTGATGAAAAATAGCTGTCCAGCCAACTGAGCTAACTGATCCCCAGCCCCAATTAATTTTGTTAAGAAACACTTTCGCTTCATTTTGCCACAAGGCTGCGAGAACAAGGTCATGTGACATTTCATCACTTGGTGTATGGTATCAATATATTGAGTTATTAGCAGATCATAGTCAGACCTAACCCCTTATACTATTGCAAGGATCTTTAGGAGACTGCTAGTATTTGCTATGTGTTTGTGTTGACACTAATAAGGGCAATGCAGGAGTGTGTCACTATTTGAGAAAAGGTTCCCACAAGTAAGTGAGCATTTTCAAGGAATCATTTTGCAGTGTATCAGTATTTCTCTGTGATCTGTTGAAGTGTGGTATTATTTACAAGAGATCTTGGAGTTTTCTACAGTCATCCACTCACCTGTCTCACTCATGCATGCGTGCACACAGGCACCCACACACACATACCTACACATGGGGAAAGATTGAAAGTCTATATACATCAACGAAAAGAGAGACTTATTGTTTTTCATCGTGCACTCGTTAGGACAAACACAGGAGTGCCAAATTACAAGCTATCAGAAGAACTTAATATGACAGGAGCACATGGTGCTGAGGAGTATAGAGAGGACATAATGTTCCCAAGTACACAGTTTTTTTTATAAAGTGCAAGATTTGAACATATTTCTATACGTCTCTGTTCCTTTCTCCATTTCAATACTCCAGCCATAAGACCACAAGACTGGGGGCAGAATTAGGCCATTAGGCCATTTGGCCATTGACCCTGCTCTGACATTCAATAATGTCTGATATGTTTTGCAACCCCCATTGCCCTGTCTTCTCCCTGTAACCCTTGATCCCCTGATAAATCAAGAACCTATCTATCTCTGTATTAAAGACACTCAATGACTTGGCCTCCACAGCCTTCTGAGAGATTCACCACCCTCCTGCAGAAGAAATTCTAAAGGGTCATCCCTTCACTCTGAGGCTGTGTCCTTGGGTCCTGGTCTCTCCTAGTGGAAACACCTTCTCCATGTCCATTCTATCCAGGCCTCTAAGTATTCTGTAAATTTCAATCAGATCCCCCTTTGCCCTTCTAAACTCCATTGAGTACAGACCCAGAGTGCTAAATCACTCCTCATATGACAAACCCTTCGTTCTCAGGATCATTCCTGTAAACCTCTTATGGATCCCTCCAGCACATCCTTCCTTAGATACAGGGTCCAAAACTGCTCATAATATTCTAAATGTGGTCTGACCAGAGTCTTATACAGTACATCTGCGCCCTTGTATTCTGGAAATGAATAACACTGCATTTGCCTTCCTAACTGCCACTGAACCTACATGTTTTCCATAAGAGAATTCTGAACTAGGACTCCTGAATCCCCGAAACGTCAGCCTTCCTGCTTCTATGATGCTGCTTGGCCTGCTGCGTTCATCCAGCTCTACGCCTTGTTGTCTTCTGAATCCCTTTCTGGATCAGATTTCTGAAGCCTTTCCCCATTTAGAAAATAATCTACGCCTCTAGTCTTCCAACTAAAGTGCATAACCTCACACTTTCCCACATTCTATTCCATCTCCCACTTTTTTTCTGCATTGACTGACCCCCTTCTAATAGTTGTCCCCTTATCTGCTGTGCCTGTAGATAGATTCCTGACCCTTTCCATACTCTCTGCCTTTTCACTTGTTCTGGAAACTTTAATAACCTTTGCTGAGCTCTTCCTCTCCCTTAACTAGGTTAAAGTCCTTGTGACATTGACTTACCTCGACTTGTGTCATCTATCTTATTCTGAATGCTTCGTTCATTAAGAAACAAAGCCTTTAAGTTTGTTCTCTTATCAAGTTGCCTTACGCTTTTGTGGTTCCTTGGTACAATATGACATTCACATATTCTGTTCCTTCCTTTATTTTCTGGTAACAATCAAGCCCATCACTAACCAGAAATTCTACCATCTCCTTTCCTTTTGATTTTATCATTTTTCATGTAAATGAGGCCCCCCCAGCCACTATTTGGAGTTGACTTACCGAACAGTAGTTTAAACTGTGCAAGATGGAGAATCTCAGAAATATGTCTCACTCAGAGATAGTAAGAACTGCAGATGCTGGAGTCAGAGATAACACAGTGTGGAGCTGGAGGAACACAGTGGCCAGGCAGCATCAGAGGAGCAGGAAAGTTGACGCTTCGGGCTCGGGATGCTTCTTCAGACCCTTTCTCTGAAGAAGGGTCCCGAACCGAAACGTCAACTTTCCTGCTCCTCTG